CAAGTCATAAAAAAAATCAAATAATAAAAGAAAAAGTTGTTGGTCCGATTCAATCTCTTCCAAATGCCTAAACGAAAAAAAAAATCTTCTAACATCAAAAAATGTCTTTATTATTTTCTTGTTCCATTTTATGGATTTTTATCTTTTCGAGAAAATGTTCCGTTTTATTTTCGTGGCTGAATGACAAAACTTTATGGAAATAAAGTAAGAAAAATAACCAAACGGAATGCCAAATTTGGTGGGGAAGTCGTTGTTTGTTCCATTCGGAAATTGTCATTGATAGCAATCAGTCTTCATTGAACACAGTAACTCAATAAGCTACGAGCCAAACGAAAATAAATCAGAATGTCACGAAGCACCTCAATTTGCATTCACTTCATTACGAATTTTACGATTGGTACGAACGAAGCAGATGAAATTTGGGAAAAACTATGCAACATTCGGAAATATATATATTTTTTTTCCATGGTTGTGTCTCGTTTAAATTACATGATTTCAATGTAAAATCGTGTGTCGGAAGTTTGTTCATGTTTCGACGTCGAATTGTGTGTCGAAATGTGCACACATTTGGATTTTATTGGGCAATCTGCGAGTCATAAAATTGATATCGCATCTTGTAAATGTGTGTAGTCGACACATACACATAGTTTCTATTACTTAGTAGTTGAAGCATCTGAAGCAGAACGTAAACGAAGCCGATTTCAAACCCGTCAAATGGAATTTGAGCCAAACACCTTTTGCAATATCCGTTTGTCGATTCAGCACAATAAAATGAACTCTTTTTTTTTATTAAAAACTAATCGACACCATAAAAAGACTACATATTCCGGATTTTGATACGCTCTTTTGTTTCAATATGTGCGCAATCGGTTGGATCTAATAAGACGTTTGCTGCACAACATTCACAACCAACATCGTCCTTTGGAGATTTTATTTGAACGGAGGAAGGAAGAGGGAGAGGGTAGAGAAAGAGAGACGTAAAGAGAAAGGGAGAGAAGGAGGGATAGAAAGAGAGCAAGCACCGGTTGAAATGACCAAACCAAAGAATGCGAGAATATCAAAAGGGAATTAACCTCGAACGCAAACCGGATAATCTCAATGAATTTTGAATGACCCATTTCATGTAAATTATGTTAGTATGCCATTTCGAATCGAATTACAGTAGCTACCAATTTAATTGGCTGTTTTGCTGCTAATGAGTTTTCCTTTCTTCGCCACACTTGCTCACTCGCTTTTTTCGCCATTTCATATTGATGGTTGTAAAGGATTTTCGATTGAGTGCACGCGATTCGTATCGCTGTGATACAGATAAACTGTTTTGGATGTCGATGTTGGTGTTCGTCTGGTTTTACGAACATATTACTACGAACGTGGTTTATTTATCGAACATGTGCCGGTGTGCGGTGCAAATGACATTTTCATAGGTTCAATACCACCAAAAGATAACAATGGTTTGACCTCTGTACCGATTTAAACCGTACTATTTATGATCGTGCATTAAACAACACTATTCGCGCATTCCCATTTGGAATTGCAACGCAAATTATACCACATAAACTCAGACACAACGAACATCAACCAGACAGTATACAGCGGAATGGAACAATGAACGAAAACAAAGAATGGATGCCATTGTTTTAGGAATATTTTATGAACGTCAAATGAAGTCTTCAAATCCAGAAAAAAATGCAACGGAAGGGGGGAAAAGAGAGGGGCGGTAGAGAGAGAGAGAAGCGAAGAGCAAGAGATGGAAAGAATGAGATGGGAAGAACGAAAGGGAAAAAAGAGAAAAAGGGAGTGGTAGATATAGAGAGAACGAACGAGGACGAAAGAGAGCGTGAGTGTAAGAGGAAAAGAGCAAGCAAGACAGAAAAAGAAGAAAATCGGTTGTACGAGAAGAGAACTAGATAGAACAGGCGAAGAAGAAATTGTGTAACAAAGATTGAGAGAAGAGTTGGATACATCAGAGGGAAGAATGTTTGCGATGAGATAAGGTGCAAATAAAAGTCGGGCAAAAAAAGAGCGGAATAGTGTAATTTTCGAGAAAAAAATCCATTGGATCGAAACACGAACAAAATCACCGTAGAGTAAACTTGATGTAGTCAACAAATTTTAAACGGTCCAATTGAGAAAAAGCTCTAAAAACAATGAGAGTGAATCCGTTGAAAATATTAATTTGAGATTTAATAGCTCCTACGGTCAAAGACCGAACACTAAACCAACATCAAGTAGTTTTTAAGTTGATGTCAAACATAAAATGAATTTTGTTTACAGTAATTTCATCGATAATTACACCATTCCATTCTCAGTCAATTGAAAACTTTCTCAATATTGCAATCGAAAATGTATAAAATTCCAACTTATGAAAAAAGTCGTAAAAAAGTCATTTCTTCATATCATTCAATCATAATTTACTGCGAAAAATGTGTTTCTTCGAAGAAAAAAAATCCGCATAAAATATGAAAAAACGGATAAACAAATAAATAACGGGCATTATCATTAAAAGCGGCTTGCATAACGGCAAACACCCCTCGTCGACCAATACCCACATATTAGTTTCGTTACATTGTTTCAAGACTGAAAGGGCAAACGGTGTATTCGGCTCATTCAATCTATTCGGTTTAAAAAAAAACTTTGTAAAACCTGGCACGACCGTGAAATGAAAGTTTTGCCCAAGACGACAATTTCTTTGTTTACGTTCGCATTTCTTCCGCTGAATAAAGATTCGTTTGTGATAAAAGCAACGAACCGTAACGAAAATATTTCTTTTCCTTCTCGTCCGAGTGAGAGAGGTGGCAGGCGCATTTTTTTCGTCATTTGGAATTTGAACAAAGTTTTTTTTTTTTGGAAGGTTTGTTTGGTTTCACATTTTATTTGTTGAAAACGATAAAGAAACAAACAGTAATAATTTGTGTTGGCATTTTATCGTCACTTGAAATGTGTATTCATGGTGGTTGTTTTTCCGGTTCGGTTGCGCATTTCACATTTCATTCAAAACGGATTCAGATTCTTTAGTTTCTTCTTGTTGTGACCGGTATTTTTTTATTGCCATAATTTATTATTTGCACATTTTTGCCATTCCACAAACGTTCGCGACAAATATTTTCTTATTTTAAACAACAAATTATATGGATAAAGCGACGAAACCAACCATTTTTATCATCAAACAAATGCAAAATGCCCTTTTATTTGCAGTGTCTGACACGATTTCGAAATCATTCATTTTATGCTCGTTATTTATCCATAATTATGGTTTTGAATAAGCGCCCAGCAACGGTTTTTTAACACCTTCATTTCATGGTGATGTTTTGAAAACACTGAATGTGAAAGCTTAACACGGCTTGAAATCGTGCAACCATAATTGAGCTCTGTGCAATTTGAAACTGTGACCATGGTTTATGGTGTTTGTTTTTGACTTTGATGTTGCAAAGTTTTTAATTACATTTTTCCGAAAAAAAATCTTTCGGAAAATTGCAAAGTTTTTTTTTATTATTAGATTTCGTGGAATTTTGTAAATTTTACCATTTTCGGCATTGACGAGGATATTAATAAGTTAATGGGTTAAAATGTATTTTATGAGGCTCTTCTATACATATTATCACATTCCATTTCAAGGCGCAAATTATTTGTGGTTTTTATTAAAATGACACATCACATTTGAAAAATTGTGAACTTGCATTTCAATTAGTTTTCAGTTCGTGATCAATGGAGGTGTGACTTTTCAAACTTTTCATATGAAATTCGGAGTTCAAATCTACCGAAAAGTGTTGCAACAGACCGGTGACCTATTGAGTCATTCTACGAATCCATTAATAACAAACAAATAACAAATATTTATAATAAAACAACAAAAACCGATACAAAATGTCATACAATTCAAATATAACTAAATAACTTTAAGATTCCAACAACGAACATTTTGATATTTCCAACAAATACACAATTTTATGTTAAATTTTTACAATCGAATGACACATTACATTCGATGTGTTTCTTTGTCCGACGTAAATATAATATTACTATTATGTTGAATGTTGATAATTGTCCGGGTCCACATCGATAAAATGATTTTTAAAATGTAAAATATGTGGCAAGTTTTTCGATGCCGAAACGATGTCACACTATCGAAAAACTTTTATTATTTCAACTAATTTTATGAGAACATTAAAAAAAACTTTGCGACCTTATTGCCGTCTATTTATGGTTCATCAAAGTTTTCCTCGATTTTTATGCTTTAAAATGACAAACTTTCAATAGATATTGGCGTTTGGTTGAAATGTGTTACATTAACGGTCCACCAATATGGAACACCGAACTTTAGTCCTTTTTAAAAATAGTTAGGACACATTTATAGACCACATAAAATCATATATGACATTAAACTTCGCGATTTCATTCAATCTCGATGCAAGTGTGCGTTCATTTCTAATGACAAACAACGTATTTCGAAATCAATATTGTTTCTAAGTTGAAATGAATTCGAAATCGAATGGAAAGTAAACCAGTTTTGAACGATAAGAAATTTTGTTTCGGAAATGTTAAATCTATAATTTTCAGTTTTGTTGAAGTAGAGCATGTAATTATCACTCGCAAATAGTGTGCTTGGTGGACACAAAACTGCTTTTTATCACTGTTTAAACTTTAAACATTTCGAAACAATTGGCTTCCGTAGCAAATGTGGTCAAGATGAAGACATGATCAAATGAAGACATGATGTTCGAAGACATGGTTTAATTTCGTTTTCTAGATAAGACTCGGATTTGCCGCTAAATTTTTTAGATCTCTGCAATATTTGTTATGAATCTTAACATGCAAATGTGTGAAGGAATAAAGAGCCATCATCTTCGAAATAAAATTATTTTCTTTTGTTAAAACTGCGTTTGCATTTGATTAATCCGCTAAACCATTAAATTCAATTATATTACAGGTACAAAAGTAGTCGAATATCTGATTGAACAAGGAGCTAATGTGAATGCCCAAGAAAGTTATAATCTCTATACTCCACTCCATTATGCATTTTATTCAGGAAATTGTACAACGTTAAAAATATCATGGAACTGTCTAACGTAGATATATTTTGTTATATATTCTCATAGCTATTCTCATTTTTAATTGAAAAATTTGTATTTTTAATAGAAATCGTTCAATTTGATTTTTTAGAGGAAGGGAAAAGAGCAAAATCCGTTTTGGTTGCCAAGTTGAATACATTTAAGGAAGAATTTGGAAAAAAACATGAAATTCCTTCTATAAATTCAAAGATATATTAAAGAACCGAATCAACGGGATGCCAACACACGAGATGTATTAGATTGGCTATGTGTATTCTAGTTTATCATATAAGCATTTGAACACCTTAATAACAATGAGCAATAAAAATTAAACAATCTGAAAATGATTTAAATAAGACCATTTTGTGTGAACATGTCAACGACGAATTTCCATTGATTAATGGCAGCTTGGGAAGCTGGTTTACTTGAAGGGTCCGAATCATTATCCAACTTGTCAAGTGATGGTATTGAATTAGCATTTGATACTTTCATAGTCTGAATGCTATAAAATGACGAGAATTTCGCTTTTTCTCGAAATTCATGCCACATCCTAAAAAAATTATCATTCTGTTGTGATTGTATATTCAAATATTAACGTCCATTAAGTACTCTTTCCTTACTTTTCATGAGTGTAATCGTCCATTGGACTTTTTAGCAAGTTCATCATTTTTTGAAACTCCGAAATATAATAATCAACGAACAACGTGAAATTCGCATTCAAATCAATGTTGCCAACACTTGTGAATAAGAAGAATGCCAAATCAAACACAAATGATTCATAAAAATACGATTGAAAATCATAAATTTTCACGTTTATCGAGTTGGAGTCGAGTTGGTTTCTGATCATTATATTGTTGATCCATAAATCGCCATGAACAATTGTCGTATACGGTGTGTCAATGGCAATGGTCAAGTCTTTCATATATTTCTCATGCATTGCATACATGTTGTCAACTGCATCACTCATTTCCGAAGTGATATTAAGAACACGTTTCACCTCGCCATAAATTAACTGAAAAATACATTTTTCTTACAACGTGTTAAATATATTTTTTTTAGGTTTGATATACTTCGTATATTGCATTGTCGTTTTCTTTCCGTAGATTGTGTGATTTTGTATACGGATTTACTTTTGTATTGTACAATTTTGGGTGGCACCGTTTCATTGCAATGCCCAATGCATGATATTTTGCCAAAACCTACGAATGAAATTCAAAACTTTCGTGAAACTATCTAACGTTGGCTTTGGAATATGGAATACTTTGAGGATCGCCAATGTTTCATTTGTATTGAAACCCATGCGCTTATCTACGTTAGTAAAATTGTCAAGTTTAACGTTTTCGAGCAATAAAATAGCATCAGAATCGGCATATTCTGCGTCTGTGAATTCAGAAATATGTGTATTTTCTTTTAATTCAGATTAGTCATATTAGAGCTTACTGGGGTTTAATGAAAATCTCCATCCAAGGCTTGGAATGAACGCGTCCAATCGCTCTTCCAGCGGTACATTTGCAATCTCTTCAAACTGTTCCAAAGCCGGAATGATATCCGTATAAAAGCGGACCTCTTTTACAAATGTCACTGCTGGTTTGAAAACTTTAGCCAAAATGGGATTGGTCACCGGTGTTTTGATGACAACGTTGTAAATGTCGTTCTGCGTTTTAAAAATATCGATTGAATTTTCTAAAAAGTTTTAGTTGAATTGATGAAACTCACTTCGTCAGAATCATTTTCTTCATCGGCTACTTTTACAACAACCGATCGTAATACAGCACCAAAATTATCACCAGGCTTTGTTAAAGATTTCAACGTATATTCCAAAACTGTTTTATTTAGACTTTTCTCCAGAAATTTGGTGAAATTTTTGATTTGATTCTCTTCAATAGATGAACTATTGCGGTCTCCATATACCGTTAAAATTAAATGACAAAACGAAAAAATATACAAAATATTGACCATTTTGACTAAATTTACAAAACCAAGCTACATATAGCAGTGTTCACGACGCACTGATGCGAATTAAATTAATTATAAGCAGCACAACTTGCGATAAAGATGTCTAAATGGTTTCATTCGCTCTCTAAAATCGGTCATTATCAGTCTTAATGGCAATGACCTTTTTGATCTTAGTTTTTTTTTTCCTAAAACGGTTGTGCAATGTACATCAGATAATTTTAATTAAATGAGCACTTGGCACCAATATATAGGTACTTCAAAATTTTGCGTTGATTATACAATATTCACCAAACTGGCATTGATTACGTAATGTTAAGTTAATTAGAATTGGCATGAAGTGCATATCTAATGCACTGAATGAATGACTTGTTACCGATATAATCCGATTAAAAGTGTCACATTTCGAGCGGCACATTCCACGTTACTAAATCATCAAAATATCTTATGAAAGTCTATAATTTCATTTCTTTGATTTTTAAATCACATTTCACTGACTCCGTTTGTCAAGAGATTATTTCTATTCTTCCCTCGGCTTCAATCAATGGATTATTCAAATTTAAAAAAAAATTTGTTTGAATCTGTTGAAATTTTTTTAAATCGTCTATCAAAGAGCATATCATTTTCAATGATTTCTGTGTACATCAACTTTGTTCGGGTCCTATCAAATGGGTAGCGCGTGTGTGAAAGTCATTCCAAACGAACGGAACTGATTTGAATAAAACATCGACTAAAAAGCGATAGTAAATATGTTTTCGTTGCATAGTAAATATGTTTTCGATTTAAGTCGAAATGCAAATAAATTATCGCATTTATAAACATAAGCTTTATTGAATAAGCTTCAATGTTTTGATATTATCGGCGTTATTCTGCATAAAAAGAAATTACCATTCCGTTTGACATTCGCAGAATTATGAAGAGCTGTTTGAAAATTCAAACACATACAATCAAAGCATGTGTTGATTTTCGCAACAAATCAGTCATTAATTTAATTCAAAATCACTGTTTCATCGATGTATGTTTTCACGAGAAATCATTTCGCTGAAAAATGAATATATGTCACGCCATTCGGGTTTTATGTTTGCGTGATAAATCGGTTTTTAGCATGACACAAGCCACTATAAAAACCATCGCCAAATAAATTTAATAGTTTTGTAAAATATTCTGCACTTAAAACAGGAAAATTCATAAATTCAAATTGTGTTTGGCACACCGTGATGTGCAGAGTTATTTCAATGCGTACGATATTTTGATGTGGTTGAAATGAATATTTTCGAAAGGTATATTACATTACATGCAGGCGCGTAATATTCCGCTGAAAAGCCATCGAACAATCAAAATTCCACTCTCATTGAAGTGGAGCGAAGTTATCATAATAAGTATCACATTTTAACCAGGTTTTTTTATATTTTTAACAAAGCATGAAATCGAACGTATGAATCAAGTTATCAATTGAGCGTACCACCCAAAGGTGTAAAATGGACTTTGAACCTTTCGGACGGAGAAAATTGCCACTTTTTTGGACGCAGACTTTTTTTTTTAAATCCAAGTCACAAGAACTACACTAAAACGTTGAGCCCGAAGCAGTGCCCAGAAATTGCACCTCTATAAAGATATTAACATCAGCAGTAACTACTTCATGCTCTGATTACACTTACCTCACGTAAACATAAAAACATATTCAAATTGAATTCCATTGCGTGGTACAATTTTCAATCATTAAAATACCGAATTTTCGTGGCCCATTTTCCCACTGTATTTTCATACGTCAAACAAAATTGTAAATAATTTCGAGCATATATTCGGTATTATACGATTATGCCAACTCATTCGTGAATTATTATACATTGGTAGTAACACATCACGTCGTCGAATAACTGCACTCAAATAACCACAATTTAATCCCATCGCAATGAATCCGAGCAATCGATAGTTTATATCGACAATGATTGTTTCAATGGGTTATGTATTATATCAGTAGAGTGAATATTTTTGGTTAAGTTGAACAAATCTAAAGCAGCAGCAGCAGCCAACACGCCCATTTTTTGTCATTTTTAAAAGCACTCACCTGAAAGTAAATGGAGAAAAAGGGTGTCGCTATTAATTTTCAAGTGCTATTTCAAATGCAATAAAAATACGAATTAAACTCTAATTATGGTGCTAAATGTTGAAAAGATGGCTCACACCAAATTACAGCATTACATCAAATTATTTCGACGTTTTACATTCATCGGAATCGGACACAAAAGTTATTTTATACACAATGTGTGCAAGGTAAATTTGATTTACATTTCATGAAGTGACCCTTTCTGTGAATTGGCGAGTTTTGTTTACGGATTTTACATGGATTGAACCGTTTTTCGAGGAAATAACAGCATTTTTTCAGCAGATTCTATGAAAACATATTTCAGGCACTAAATTTACATTTGGAAAAAGGGGATTTTCCTTGTTAAATGGAATTCAGTAGTAAATTTTCGCTGTAAAGGGAATTCGGTTGCGAATTTAACTTTGTTTAATTAACAATAGAAATAATATTATAATATAATAGAGACGGTCTTCAGCGAAGACATAATTTTCATAGCACGGTTTCAGCTATTGGATAGCGGCCAATTCCACTTTTATTCACAAAGAATAAATTATGCACTGAAGAATCCAAAATTTTCGTTTTGAAAGAATCCAAAAAATTGTTTTTATACCAAACATTTTTTCAGAGGAAGGAAATTGATGAAAACCAAATATGATTTGACGGAGTCATACCATACTTCGATAAACCCGTAATTTACCATGATAAAATCGTTTTCAAAATTTATTTTTAAAAATTATTATCATTATCATGTGGTAAGTTAACGTCGAAAGTAATAGTTTTAGTCAAAATGATCAAATAATAAAAAAATAGAAGAAAATCAAATAGAACACCGCATTTTATTCCGGAAGTAAATATGTATCCATAAATGTGTGAAATGTTCATCTCATCGAAACTTGAAATAGTTCAAGTAGTTCATTTCGTGTACATTTAAGTTTCAAAAGTCGTAGACGATAATTTAGTGATGATGTTCAAGAGAATTGGCAAAATAGTTTGCTTAAATTGCGAACAGTTACAATCCGGAAAACTAGTAATAGTCGATACACACTTAAATGGAGAACACGTAACGAAGATGCGATAGAGCATATATAAATATATTGTATGAAATGTAGTTAATAGCAGCAGCGTTTACGGTTAGAAACCGCAACATGATTTTTGGATGGTATTGTCGCTAGCAACAGCAACGGCAACGGTGAACTGATACGACAATGAGCTTTGATAAAGGAAATTAAAGTGTTTCATGTATGGTGAGCATATGTGTGAGTTTGTGTGTGTCGATTAAATGCCAAAAGCGGAAGCTTGTAAGAGACATGGGGAGGAAGGGAGGATGGAAGGTAGAGAGAAAGAGGTGAAAAGAGCGAAATGAAAGAGAAAACGACGAAGCACAAGAGAATTGGCTGCTTTGCTATATTCAGCATGTGGTCGTAATGTCTTGACATTATCGATTCTCCTGTCATATTCACATGCACTTTCAAAATCGCCATTTCAATCGATTCAGTTAAGTTGAGTCGACGATTGCATGTTCACTTGCCAGTCGCTTCACAAGTGAAATGGCTTGTTCACTTTGGCGTGAGCAGGTCTTTATTGGTTCAAACAACTCATAATATGTTGGTGCATCACCACGTTGACCATGCAGTGTCTTTGTTAACCGTGTTCCAGTCTTTTTCTCCACCTCTCCTTCTCTCTCCATCCATCCTTTTTCTCTCTCTTTCTCTCCCCCCCCTCCATATCCATATCCATTGTTTGGCTAAATACTCCAAAATACAGTGGCACATCCAACAAAGGTCCGATTTGATCAATTGTAAAAGCTTTTACATCATTTTGGCCCCGACTCACCAGCAATACCATGTCAAAGAAGCCCCCTTTCATTTGCAATTGTTCAAGATTTATTGTGATGCATCATTAAATTTTATCATATAAACCAAAACGGTCTTTTTGTAAGTGTTTATCACTGTTTCGTGATTGCATGCGAATGACATGACAATCATTCATTCGACATTGCACCACCCTTCCGTCACCGTATAACTTGATATATTGCGTCCATTATGTGTTACTAAATGAGTTGCAATTACATTGGCAACAAGACACAATTGATGTGAATTTAGTTATTAGTTTCCATTCAATAAATTTTCCACCATGAAAAATGCATGTTTCGAATTGGTGAATATTATCAACATTATTTCCGTGTGAATTTCTCTCGATTTAATTAATGCGAAAAACTTGGCAAAATCAACTCACAACTCGGAACTGGAGCGAGAAAAGAGTACCGCTTCAACGTTGAAATGGGCCCTTTTTCATGCAAATTTTAATTTTTTTTTTCTGTTAGCCGAATTCGTTTGAAGTCGACTCAAATTGCATTAATCTCCGCGAAAAAAAACCGGGCTGGTGATGTGGCATTCGATGAAAGCAACCAGCATGAAACAAGTCCCCACTCGTTTAATATTATACGTCGAAAGCCAATTTGCATTTTGATTTGGCCGTCCAAATGCAAAAAAAGAGAGCAATACATGGCTTATTAATACACAGGTACTTTTTCATATTACATGTTCTTAACAATAATTCGGTTGAAGAGGCCGAAAAATCGGCTCTCGGTCTTTCTCTCGATTTTTTTCGTTTTTTTTTCTATCGTTCACTTTTCCCTCTCTTTCTCTCTCTCTTTTCCTATCTTTCTCGCTCTCTCCCCTTTTATTTTAATTTTCCATCTCTTTCTCACTCTCGCCCAGAACCTCATCGAGTTAGAGTTTAATCTTTAAAATTGATGAAGAACCATATAGCGAGAGAGTGTGTGAAAGCGAGCGATAGAGTTACAGGAAAAGCGAACCAGTCCAAGTAATAACAACGAAAGACGATGAAAAATAAAAAGTTTGCTTATGCGTACGTATATTTTGTAGAAAGGATTTTTGGTGTAGAAAATAAAAAAAATGGTTATTGCATATAAGAAAGAGCAGAAAATCTA